AAAAAAAATTTCTGTTTTTATAGGCTCTGCTGCTAATGTGAATGGGATCTTTTCCCATTTCGATTTCTACATTATTGGCAGTATTCAGAAAGGCAGCAGAGTTTGTGTGTCTTGCTCTTAATATCAACCCTTTAAACCCAGCATCTTATTCATTCTAGTGGTGTTTTGCCAAGCACTTGAATTTTCCAATTATTTCTGAGTTAATTTTGATAATTTGTACCTATTTTAGGATATTATGAATTTCTTTGGGATTCTTAGTTTTTACTATAGCATTGTGTATAATATTGGATTTTATTTTTTTCACTCTCTCCTATGTTTGTGATTATATCCCATTTGTGATCATATATACTTTGTTCTCCCATTTTCCCCCCTTAATTAAGACTATAAGTGAATTATGTATTGGTAAGGGGAAGACACTGTGGGTGAGCTTATCTGTWATGTGAATTTTATGTCTTCTATTTCACTAATTATGTTTTTATTCTGTTAATTATCTCTGTTTTGTAAATAATCTTATGATTTCTCTGGATAAACGTTGACTTTTCCCCTCTTGCCTGAATGGTAAGCATACTTTAAGCCACACGTTTTTCTACAGCCTTTGCTCTGCTCCATTGGGTATGAAGAGTTTATATTTTTATTACTTTCTAAATAATCTGCCCTTTTGTCTTTTTCTACGACACAGGGTTATCGAGGAGTGTGCTTCTCAAGTTTTTCTTTTACCTCTTTTGTTTAGAAATTCTTCATTTTTCTTTTTTTCCTTTTCTTTTTTTTTTTGTTTGGTTTATGATCAAAGAATATGACATAGATGATCTTTCCTTTTCAAAGCTAAGTAAGGATGATATTGTGTAAAAGTATTGGTCTAGGTGGATAACAGATTTTTGTAAACATTTTGGAAAAACTAAGCAATTTTTCTATTCAAGTGATAAAAATTCTATTAAAAGAACTTCTTTTGATTATACTACTTATTTCCATTATGAGTTTTATTTTTGTTCATTATAACCATCCAATTTGAGAAGAGTTATATTAAAATGTGTCTATACGAGTAGAGGAAGGACATAGGGGGAGGGAAGGAGGAAGGACTGGGGATTGAAATGGAGAAGGGTATTTTATATGCACTTAACATGGCAAAATGAACACCACTATTATGCATAGCTAGTAATACACTAAAAAGTACCTATGCTTCTATTTCAATTAATTATTTTTCGTTCGTGTTGTATTTTTAGTAGCACCTGCTTCATTTACTTAACTACTGCATTATTTGGTGCAAACAGCTTTATGAATATTTTCCAAACTCCATAAAATATACCTCATATCATTACAGAATATTTCTGTTCATCCTGTGATATTATTTATTATACTTTTAAATTCTACTTGTATGCTGTTAATATTGCCATTTATGCTTTAAAAATTTCTTTATTTTTTTCTTACCTGATATTTCTTTGCACCTTTATTTTTATGAATAATACATAACTAGGTTTTGTTTTTTTTCACCTAAAATGCCTGCCTGAGTTTAGAGGATTCAGTCCCTTTGCACTAATTTAATAATTAATATACTCAATTTTTTTATGTCATTTTTTTTTCTTTTTCTAATTCTAACCTTTTTCTCTTTCGGTTGATTTGCTCCAAAGATGATTAATTTCTCTCTTCCTTTTTTTTTTTAATTCTGGAGTTTAATTATACTCTTTACTTCCATAATAGTTAATGAAATATTAGTATCATCACTACATAGGCAATAAATAGTCCTATTAATCCATGAGGCGAGTTATTAATTATTTCTCTGATGACCTCCTCCTCCTCCTCCCCCTCCCCCCTCCCCCTCCCCCCTCCAGCTCCCCGACCTCCAGGATCTCTTTAATTCTGTTTCCCCCCTCTCCACCGCTCCACTTGCCAGAGGAGACCTTGGGTACATTTCCACCGTCTCCAGCCCTTCCCAGATTAGCACTTCTGGTGAGTGTGGCTGAGTACTTCCTGTGTGTCCAGCGGCCGCGTTTGGCCCTCATGATGGACACTCCCGGTCTCTCTGCACTTGTCTCCATGTGGCTGTGGGTGCTGCAGCCCCTGTTTCCTCTCTTCCTCGTCTCTCCTCGCCTGGAGGCCCCTCTCAGGGTCTGTTGGGCTGCTTGAGCCCTGAGCCAGCTCCGGGGTTCCCTGGAGTGTGTGGATCACATCTCCATGGCCGTGGGTGCCAACTCTGCAGCCCCGGGGTATCATTTCACAGCCTTCTGCCATGTGAATGTTTGGCCCAGGGACAGCCAGTTCATCTTCTTTTGTAATTACCTTTCTGTGTTTTCAAAGCAGTCTGTAAAATATTTTCTCGATTTCAGAACCCAGGTGCCTAAGTGGAACTGCACTTTCAATCTACATATTTGAGTGTCTCTGCAAAACCCAGAGAAAGTTTCCCTTTTTAAAAAAAAAAAAAAAAAAAAAAGTTTCTTTTATGATTCTTTTTTTCCTCTCGTCTTCCTTTTTTACGACTCCAGATATTTTCAGGTTCGGTGTTCCAGGTCTGTCTTCTCCATGATCTCATTATTTTCCTTCTATATTTCCCACTTTTCCTGATGGATCTTGAGCGTTGCTGGTTCTGCTCTCAGTAATGATCATCCTTTCCTCGTGTCTACTTGACGTTCTCATTGGACGGTCTGATGTTGGAATTCCCAGGAGCCTGCACATGCAGCTCTTCAGGGCTCCCTCTGGTCCTTGTCCCTGGGGTTCTCCCCCATTGACGGCCTTGGTAATCACTGTCCTCCTTCCTTCTCTCTGGCGGCTAGGCCTCTGTAAGCGTCCTTTGATTCTCATTTGCTCATCGTGGCCTCGTTCCAGTTGCCGGGTGCTTTCAGCGGCTGGTCCCACCCTCCACGTGGAAGCCACAGACAGCTCAGCAGCCGTGGGCCAGTAATGGCAAGCTGCCGCTCTCCTGTGGAGGCACCAGGAGGGATCCCTTCACCTGCATTAGAGTGGAGAAGGCTCTGCGTCTTCATGCCTACAGAGGGCGCAGGGTCAGGCACACTGAGGGGTCCTGTGGCAGACCTTCATCAGAATGGAGGAGGTGGAGGGAGGGAGGATGAGGATGAGCACGGAGGAAGGAGAGAAAGGGAAGAAAGGCAAAGGGACAGAGAGAAAAAGGAAAAGCACCAACTTGGTAAGAGGTAGGACGAAAAGGTAAACAGAAGTGGGAATGAGGTGGGAGTCAGGGAAGGGTTCCCAGGAAGCCGTGACCCTGGAGGAGGTAAGGGCAGAGAGAAACGGGAGCACTGCCAGGCAGAGCAGGATAGGCAAGGCTATCCTTAGGTCTAAGGGAAGGCCAGAGGCTGGAGCAGAGGGCCAGGTGTGCAAAGCCGCCAGAGCACAAGGTCATGGCCACGGCCTGCAGGGGATGAGGGCCATCATGGCGACTCTGGTCTAGAAGCAGCTGCACTGGGGTCTTACCCAGGGATGAGACGTCKTTCACATTCTCAGGTCGTGAGGATCCCGTGCAGAGAACGAATGGAAAGGGAGGTGGGATGTTGGGGGACCACTGCGGGGCTATGGTAATGGTCCAAGAGAGAGTCAATGACAAGGTCGTGACACTCTTAAGTGGCCAATGGAAGAGGGTTGGGGACAAATGGAAAGTGTCAGAAATATCCCCAAGTACCCAGATCACACCACTGCCACAAGCCATGGGAACAGTGGAAGAAGACCAGCTGGAAATCACCAGTTCACGGTTYGTGTCCAGGGTCACCGACAGGGAAGCAGAGAAGTCGGTGGGCAGCCTGCCTCGGGCGGTCTAGATGGACACGGCACAGGGGCATGTGGGACTGGGTGGAAGCTGAGGTGGCTGGGTACCAATGAGAGCACCTGGGGACGAGTAAGGAGAGAAGACTGATCTTGTAGCTGCTAGCATCGGCCTAAGTCAGACTGTGTTTTCCCAAAGGTCATTGGACTGTATATCGTCATCTTAAAAATGATCACAAGGTTTGATCCTGCCATTCTCTAGTAGTATTTCCTCAGAAAATAACAACAGTTAATGTGGCAAATATGCATGAATAATACTTATTTAAATATTACTTATGATGGGAACAACAAAAAGGAGATTATTTAATTATCTAATATCAGGAGGCGGGTAAGCAAATGTTCATCCATTTCTATTAATGGCCATTCTGGCATGACAGTGTTTATAAAGAGCTAACGGTATGGTAAGTGATCATATGATAACAGTGAGTGAAAAAACAGACATAACATTAATGAGAAAGCCAGAGAGAAAAGGAGGCGCAGGAAAAAGGAGTTTCCACTGTATGAACGTGKGGAACTCAAGAATGTATGAACGTAAGGTTGTGTGTCACCCACTGGATTGTGTGTCATACACCTGGATGACAGCTGCCACTTTTATATGTTCATTTGTTTTCCAATTTTTCAACATGGGCTTCTTACACTGTCGGCACTTTCATTATTAGGAAAACCATAGTATTGTCCCAGTTTTAGATGACACATCATAGGCATCGCACCCCGTGAAACTCTGGTTACCTTTCCTTTTCACAATTTGACGAGCGTTTCTGTTCCGAATCTGAACAGTCTTTGAGGTTGTAAGATCATTTCCCTGCATTTAAAAGCTTTATGAGCTGCTTAGTCAAGTGGACTTGTAAAATGGCCTTGGAAACGGGTCTTATTACTGGACAGTTGCAAATGCCTTCCCCAGAGCCCTGCAGTCGGCTGGCACCCAGGGCATCATCACAGGGAGTGTATGCGTCCTTTGCCCTTGAATTGCTCAGTAGCACAGATAAAATGAACTCTTTACTGTGAGGGTTTTTTTTTTTTTTTTTTTTTTTAGAAATAATTATGTGACAAACACATATCAGAATTTGCTAATTATTTTTAAATACAGTAGGTTGTTTGGTTTTTCTCTAGTGGTTATCTGGGAACTTCTGCTTGGACTGTCATCTATATCATTGTCTGCGGTGACACAGAATCCTTTTTTATTTGGCTTAAAACTAAGAGTACGGTTTTGTTTTGTTTTGTTTTAACTCCAGGAACGTGTACAAAGACTACCGTTTCCTTGAGCTGGCCTGCGACTCTCAAGAGGATGTGGACAGCTGGAAGGCTTCTCTCCTAAGAGCTGGGGTCTACCCTGACAAGTCCTTAGTAAGTTGGCTATACCCCTTATTTAACAATTATCATTACCCGCGTTGAAGAAAATATGCTAGTTCTTTGTACCACATGCTAGAGCAACTAGTTTTCTTACTGATTTAGTTAATCTGGCAAACTCTTGGCTGATACTTCATTCTCTTTATATTGCTTCTTATGATGCTTTTCTCCATCAGATTTCTGTAGTAAGAACCTAATCAGTGTATTTGTTGAAGCAAATGCCCTCCCTTGCCACAAGACATAAGCTACATGTTCTCAGATCAAGATTTCCTCTACATTATCCCACAGTATTATATGATTTCTCTGTGTTATTCCACAATATTAATAGGAGCAACATATCATCAGCAGTAACGCCAGTATTTCAGATTCTAAAAAAAATACTCATTTTTTTTAAATAAATCTCTCTCTTTCCTTGTGTCAGTATTACTTGTACCCTTTGTTGTATCTGTATTGAACTCTGGCTAATGTCACTATGAGTGTGGAGGAACAAAAAACAGTATGGCTCTTTCCACTTATCTTTATTAATACACTTCAAGTGTCCTGGAGACACTTCTCTCACTGAAGTTAATAAACAGACCTTCTCCTTGTGTTCTTTAGAAACCATAATATTACACAGACGCGTCTGAAGTCTGAGTTTAAGCTCTGGAAGTCCCGCCCATCTTGTGTGCACGGGCCCTTGAGCACGCTGCAGAGGGATGGGTCTCTGCACCTGCTGCTCCTGGGTCTTGACACCACCCTGGCTTCTCCCCAGTGTGGAAGCACCAAAGTAGAGCCCCAAGATCTGGACCAGCTTGAGCCTTCTTGTGCTGCTTCCTTGGCTCTCAGTCCCTTCACAGTGCAGATCTCGGACTGATCTAGGCTCACAGTAGGGACAGAGGCTTTTCCAGGCTCAGTCTGAGATTTGGGTACAATGTGAGAAAATTGTAGCATTGCTGGGAGACTTTAGGCCCAGCCACATCCCTGGGYTTACACTGGAAATTAACAGAGTTCCAGGAGTAAAGGGTGGAGGATTTGTAGCAAAATGTTCTTCCTGCTCCTATTTTAGCTTACACGTGGACCCCTCAACCCCTYCCATCCTATGCATGTGTCTGGGTGGCACCTAAAACAGTGACCACTGGGTGGTCCCACACAGTGCCCTGTGCCCTCTCAGTAGGACTTGGACCTGATGCTTCCTTGGTGATACCAAGGTACCGACGCATCTCTGATTTTCATAATTGCTGTCCAGTCTTTCTCCTGTGGGGGCATACAGATCTGCAGAGAAGCACGCCTCTCGAGAGACTGTGAAGAAATCATTTTAAAAATTGGAGGAAATCGCTTCCACCTAAGTTTCWGTTCTAATTGGTAATTACTCTTCTGTGTCCATTGATGGTGGTGTGTTTACTTTCACAAACATTCTATATTAAAAATGCATGTATACTTAATTTTTTATTCATCCATTCCACAAAAAAAAACCTTCTGGGCACATGTTTTTTATCATCTTAGGCATTAGTGAGACAGGTGAGCAATAAGGGCCTGCTCCACGGAGCAGACACTGGGCAAGCGCATGTGTAACAGTAATCACGAAGCATCAAGATAACGGAAAGTCCCACCTAAATAAGTTAACGGGAACCCCTTTGAAGAGCAGGCCTTGGCATGGACTTCTCAAGGAAAGGAGAGATTAAATGCTGTGACTGTCTGAAGAAGGGGATTTGGGGCAGAGGCAGAGCAAGTGCAAACCACACACAGCACAGTGTCTCAGAGCAGCCCCAAGAAGGTCTGTGTGTCTGGAACACCGTGAGGCAGGACAGACTGGCAGGTGGTCTCCACGATGGTGTCAGGGCAAGATGATGTTGGCCTTAAAGGACATGTGAGCATTTTGCATTTTACTGTGAGGGAGAGAGAAGCCAGGGAAGGGTGTCTCCAGCTAGTTGCCATGATAAGATTTACATTCTTGAAAGACCTCATGGCTGGGTCTGATTAGAAGCAGCAGCACCTCTGGGTCCAAGCACAGGCTCTAGTGTCCAATCCCAGGAGCTCGCTTCCAAGCTGTGACCTTGGGCAGGTGCCCTGGCCATTTACATTTTGCAATTCTCATTGCTTAAATAAGACCATGCYGTCCCGAGAGGGTGATTGATGGGGTCCAGTGAGATAAGGCGCAGAAGGACCCAGCAGRGCAACCCAGTGAGGACCCTGTTTCCATGTGTAATGATAATGGTCATGACTCATTTCCAGCTCAAGCACTTTCTTTAACAGCTAGAAATAACTATAATGAAGCCCAGCGGGATTGTGAATCCTTTGTGCTATCTTCTATCTTCCAAATATGCTTGAGATGTGCAGGATATCAGTGTTGGGGGGCGGGTGTGTATCTTCCTTACATGCAGCTATAGTTGTATAAAAATGATTCAAATCACAATTTTGTAAACTAAAATCTGTTTTAAGTGCACTAGAACAATTGGCCATGTAAGAAATTTTGTAATGTAGTTTTTGTGCTTAAGAAATTTTGTAATGTGTGTGTGTGTGTGTGTGTTTTTCCCTGCAAGAAAAACTATCATGGAAAAGCAAATTTTTCCAGCCCCAGTTTTCATGAATCTGGATTTTCATACACCAAAAAGATAATCTAAGAAATATTTTATATTTTTAATCAGAATACTCACTTTTAAGCAAATCTAGTGATGTCCTCCACAATCTGTTTTGATTCTTTTCACATTTTCATTTGTTTATAAACACACATTTGGTACAATTGCCTGGAAGAAGGAGTCTAGAAGTTTTCACTGCATACCAAAGACAAGACAGGAAATTAAACTTGGCAGTGTGCCATGAACATTGCATTTCTCAGTTTTCATCATACATAATATTTGCATTTTTATGCACAGTGTAGGCTTATGGGACATATTAAAGGCTTGGTTGGTTTGCAGATATTTAATGGCAGCTAACTGTTAAAATCAATCAAATAGAATGCTTTCCTACAGCTTCCATTTTGTAAGCACTCTCACATTTGGGAGAAAGATAGTTTTGGTTCCTGATTTGGAAAGATTTGAAGAAATTAACCTGTAACTGACACTTCTAAGTCCTGACTTATTCTGGGAACATGTGTGTATGTTGGTAATTAAAGGCTACTACTGAAGAATTTTTAAAAGATTATTTTACTGACACATACATAGATTGTTCCTGTAAATAAAATTACAAACAAATACAAATTTGATTAATTATCTAAAGAACGTGATGTAACAGCTAGCTTTTTTGACACAGTACGGTTTACAATGTGACTTGTTCCTAAACATTAAGGAATTCCAAATTCAGATTCTTTGAAGCACTGTGTGCAGTGGGATGAGATAGACTTCAAGTCAGATCCACTCACATTTTAAATCCTGACCTTGCTATCTATTAGCCATGTGGTGCAGGCATTTTATTTAATCTTCCAGTTCTTTATTCTCTAAACTCAAAATAACAGTCCTTCCTCAGGGTGATTTTATAGGATTAACCAAAGGTCCCTGTGCATCACAACTGCTCAGTGCCTTCAACTGAGTGCAAGTTCAATGCCTTTATTATTGTTATTCAGAGTCATTAGCGTGTCCATAGCTCTGATTCCCAACTTAGTGTGCACCWTTTCTTTGGAAACTGTCAGTGGATTTGGGCATGTGAGAATTTTCTTCTGTATTGACTGAGGAAGTCGGGTTGTTTAAAGGGAGCCCTATGCTGCCTGAGGGGACAGGACAGTCTTGGAGGCTGCGTTGGTCAGCTGAAGTGAGCCAAGGGGCTGTCAGGCTCTCACCTGCCAGCCATCTGAAAGAAGGAGCCTGAGGTCCACACGTGCCCTGGAAACGAACTGGTACCAATTCATTTTGGGGGGTGTGGGGCGGGGGTACTGGGGATTGAACTACAGAGCCACGTCCCCAGCCCTGTTTTGTATTTTATTTAGAGACAGGGTCTCACTGAGTTGCTTAGTGCCTCACTAAATTGCCAAGGCTGGTTTTGAACTTGTGATACGCCTGCCCCCACCTCCCGGCTGGGATTATAGGCGTGCGCCTCACCCAGCCTCAATTCAATTTTGCATGTCGGTTTTTTTTTTTTTTTTTTTAGAGAGAGAGAGAGAGAGAGAATTTTTTTTAATTTTTTAGTTCTCGGCGCACCCAACATCTTTGTTGGTATGTGGTGCTGAGGATGGAACCCGGGCCGCACGCATGCCAGGCGAGCGCGCCACCGCTTGAGCCACATCCCCAGCCCCTTGCATGTTTGTTAGTGAGACACCTGAGAGCTTCGTAAGAGGTATATAGAGAGAGGGACTTTTTAATCTCAATTATGTAACAAGAGATTTAAATGGCAGTATGGCTGGAGACATAGCTTAGGGGTAGAGACTGGCTAGCACCTGTGAAGCCCTGGGTTCAAACCCCAGCACCACCAAAAAAAAAAAACAAAAAAAAAAACAAATCCGTGACAGTACAAAGTGAGACGCTGTGGAACTTGACTTTCCCTCTGAAGCTCGGACTCTCCCAGCCATAACTGAGGCTTTTATGATGCTTTGTGTGTGGGTTGAAACCATTTACTTGAGTCTCTGGTACCTTCCTCTGYGTTCAATAATAGGGAAATGGGACTCCGTCATTCCAGAAGAGGAATGTCATGGGCTCCCGGTATTCCTGACCACTCACACAGGCTCGTCCTGAGCCCCACATGAGACCTGAAGTCCCATGGCTCAGCCCCGGCCAGGCTTGTCCTTAGCTTTCTCCGCAGTCCTCACGCAGAGCTCAGAGCAGCTCCATCCCTCAGTGGAAGCGCTTTCAGGGTGCCAGACAGAAATCGCCGTCACCCAGAGGAGGGGAGGCAGTCCCGAAGCCTTCCCAAGTCCCCATTCACGACTGTCTGCGCCTCTTGCAGAATAGTCGCTTGGGAAAGCACTGAATGAAACAAGGAATGGCCAAGCCACACCACGTCCGTCCGGGCTGTGCGTTTCTTGTATTTGGGGATTAAGGCCTCCTCCTCTGTGACATCACTGTTGCCACTACAAACAGAACCATCTGCCA